AAAAAAAAGGCCTTGCTGATGTCACTGAATGAAGGGGAGAGAGTCCCCTGGACCATCCAGGTGGGCCCAGTGTCCTCACAGCCAGGGGTCTCTATAAGCGAAGGAGGGAGGTAGGCAAGTCAGAGCAGGAGAAGCAAGAAGAAAGCAGAGTCAGGTCAGGGTCAGGGTCAGGCCCACGTCCTGGACAAGGCCTGGAGAGGGATTCTCCCCTAAACTCCCCAAGGAGGAACGCAGCCTCGCTGACACTTCGGTTTTACCAGTGAGACCTCCGGGGGGATTTCTAGAGCCGCACGATGTGCTTTAAGTCGCTAAGTTTGTGCTCATTTCCAAGGGCAGGAATAGAGAACTGACACGGGAGCCTCGGGTGGTATTTTTAGGGAAACCTGGGAGGGAAGGGAGGGTTGGGGAAATGCACAGGAGGGTTTAGCTTCATTTGAGGACCTCACTTAGGAAGAACTGGGTGGTTTCCAGACCTGGCCCGTGGGCAGTCTGTCCCCACCTACTACGTCACTACCTAGGTCCCCCCTCCGGGACCCCATGGAGCTGTCTCAGGAATGCTACTCATGCAAGGGGGAGCCAGGACCAGAGAAAGGACAGGACCTCACTTCCTGTCCCCATCCGCTCTATAAATGAGCTTCCCTTTCCATTCTGAAATGCAGCCAGCTGCCTGCTGCTCATACAGGGGGAGTCCCCAGAACAAGCACCTGTGTTCAAGGACAGGAAAGGGAGACACTCTTGCCCCCCACATCCGGCTCTAGACCAGGTCAGACTTAAGGGCTGAAGTCACTCAGGCTCCCTCTCTCCCACACACCCCAGGCTAAACAATCCTGCCCCCCGCCATGGGTCTTGGGGCTCAGGAGAAGAGTCAGGTCACAGGGGCAGAGTCACCTCAAACCCCTCTGGCCGCTCAGCCTTGGGTCTCAGGCTAGTCCCCTCCCCCGCACTCCAACATGGCTGTTCCTTTCCACTCCAGCTTATCCAGCAGCACATTTCCCGAAGGAATCCTCCCCACAAATCAGTTATTTTTATACTTCATTAAGAGCAACCCCCCCCCCCCCCGCTTCCCCTTCCCCCCCTTCCCCTGCCTAAAGGCTGGGCCAGATAAATGTCGGTCTGGGCCTTGACCCACATCACCAGGCGTGCACACACACACACACACACACACACACACTCAGCTGGGGGAGGGCAGGCTGAAGCCTGCGGAGCAAGGAGGACAAGTGTCTCTCCTCCCAGCCCAGCCCCAGCAGCCCGGGGCCCCTGGCACACAGGGGCATGTCCAGGAGACCTGAGATGAAGGGCAGCCACCAGTAAGCCCCCTTTTCTTGGCCCAATGTCTAGACCTCTCTTCTGGGAGCAGCTTCACTACGGTCCCCTGGGCCTCAGGGCTGTGTCTCCTTGGAGCCACGTGGCCTGAGGCCAAGGGATCACGATGGCCCGGGGAGAGAAAGGGCAGGAGAATCATTAATCCAGACAGCAGGGTTAGCGGGGGAGAGCAGTGGAGAGCAGTGTCCCCTCCACAGGGGCAGACCGGACTTGGCCTCCCAGACCCACCTCTGGGCACAGGGAGGACGCTGAGGGTCCCTCCCCAACTCTGGAGCCTGGACCCAGCTCCACTCTGGGGCCACAGCCCGTGAGCCCTGAGGTGCCACAGCTGTGGGGCAGAGATCTGGGAAGGGGAGGGGCCTGGGGAAGGGGCGGGGCAGCCCAGCCAGCCTGTCCACAGCTGTTTCTCCTCCGGCTCCCTGGGGTAGGCGCCAGCCGATGGGCCGCGGCTGGCCGGCTGGAGCTAGAGCGGCCCACCCTAGTGACGCCCAGGGGACCTTCCGCAGCCCTCCCTCAAAGGAAGGGAAGACAGCCAGGTGCCTACTGGGGTGGGGAGCGGTGTAGGAGATGCCTGGGGCTGGGGGTCCCAACAGAGACGACCGCTGAACCACCTGCGGGGCGGGCCTGGCGCGGGAACACCCCCCACCCCCACCAGAGACCCGGGCAGGACGCTCACCTCGCCCCACCCCACGCAGATGTCAAGGGAAAGGGTCCCTGGCTGGGGTGTTTCGTGCGGAAGACAGAGACTCTCCATTCATCGTGCACGCGGGGGAACTTCCTAACTCAGAGTCGG